ACCCCCACCACCATTCACACTGTCTTATCTCTGGCTATTTCTCATGCTTGGCCTATTAACCAAATTGATATTCATAATGTCTTTCTCCATGGAAATTTGTCTGAAAAAGTTTACATGAAACTCCTGCCTAATTTTGTTCATCCGCAATACCCAGATTATGTGTGTAAATTGTCTAAGGCAATATATGAGATCAAACAGGCCCCTTGGGCCTAGTTTTCATGACTCAGCTCCTAATAGGTTGAATTGGATTTTTTAAATTTGAAGTCTGTCCTTCACTTTTTATCTTTAAAGAATCAAGAGTTGCTCTCTATGTTTTAGTCTACATTGATGGCATAGTCATCAACAGGTCTACACTTCCTGTTGTCACCCAATTGATCAAATCAATTAGGGTTGTCTTTCTTATCAAGGACCTTAGTGACTTACATTTTTTTTCTTGGTATTGAGCCCCATCAGACTTCTTAGGAGACCCACCTAACTCAACAACGATATATTGTCAATTTATTGAAGAAGACCAACATGACTCATGCCAAGCCCATTTCATCCCTAATGGCATCAGGTAAATCTCTTCCTTAGTTTCTAAGGCCCTCTTGTATAAACCTAACTCTTTAGCGCAACATTGTGGGTGCACTTCAGTACTTATCCCTTACTCGACCCCAATATCTCTTATGTAGTCAATAAAGCATGTTAGTTCATGCATAATCCCATGGAAGCCCATTGGACTACATTCAAGCGCATTCTACGGTATCTCAAGTCTACAGGGGATCAGAGTCTTTTTATTCAACCAAATAAGAATCAAATTCTTCATGCTTATTCTAATGCCAACTAGGGTGGTTGCCCAAATGACAAAAAATCTACAAGCGATTATGCTATCTTTCTCGAGTTGAATTTACTTTCATGGAGTTCCACGAAACAAACCACAGTGGCTCGGTTTAGTACCAAGGCCGAATATAGGGCTCTAGCTCACACCACAACTGAACTCACGTGGCTTCAAACATTTCTCAAGAAGTTCAATATTTTCTTGTCTTTCTCACTAGTTTTGTGGTGTGATAACATTGATTCCACGTATCTTAGTGCCAATTCTGTCTTTCATGCACGCATGAAACATGTGGAAATAAATTTCCACTTTGTATGAGAGAAGGTTGCTTGTCATGATCTACAAGTTTGTTTTCTATCAACCACAGACCAAATTGCTGATATTCTTACAAAGTTGCTTGTCTCTACCCAATTTGCTATACTGAAATCCAAGCTCAACGTGGACTTCCCATTGAACTTGCAAGGGCGTGTAAAGGATAATCTAAATCATAAAATAGATAAAGCCAAATGTGCTGGATAATCCATATTCTCATAAGTAGATAAAAAACCAAATCCTCATAAAGGGATAAAGCTAAATATGTTGCAACCGAATGGACTCCTCACCATGTAATCCTATATAATGAGAGCATAAATACACATTTTTGTGAGAGAATATATTAATTTTTTGTATGTTTACAAGTCCTGTCCACGACATTATGCACATACACATAAACGATTGACCTACCCTACCAATTCACTACTACCAACCTACTTGTATACCAATCTTAATTTTATAACCCAATAATATATGTTTGTAAATTTGCACAAGAGAGTGCCACTTTGAAGAGACAGTTTCGCAACAAGGAAGGGATAGTTTCGCAATAGGTGAAAGGGGGGTTGAATTGCCCCTTGAAGAAGATGAGATGAGGGGAGTTTTGCCGAGCAGTTGGATGTGGTGGTAGTGGTTTCATTGGGTTAGGTTGGGTTATGAAATGATTTCCCTGTGATGAGAGAGAGATTGAAAGAAAAAGAGAGAGACAGAGAGAAAAAAAAAACGGAATAAAACAGTTCACTAAGGCTGCTTGTGGGAAAGTGTAATTCTTCCTGTCGGAGGGAAGAGAAATTTTGGCCAAAGGGAGAACATGAATTTGGCTGGAGGGAGAACATAAAAAATGATAAGACATTAGGGATGTGGGGGTTGGGAGGAAAGGTGAGGGAGAAGGAGTGGGTAGTTTTTGTGCATGAAAACAAAAAATCTAGTTGAGTTTAACTTTGTCTTTTCACTTGTTTTGAGATCACATGATTTGTATGTGATTAAATTTTGTTTCTTTTAACAATTGAATATTAACAATGAAAAATGGCGAGAGTTAATTAAAAAAAATTCAAACTCTAAGGGGGCTAGTTTATGACATTAAAATCAGAATAGTTGATTACAACATAACCCAAACTTGAATGAGATAATTTATAATTAACCTTAAATAAAAATCCAAAATTATCAAAACCAAAGATTTCCAATAAAAAAATCAATGCATTTGCTATTGAATATCAAGAAAGAAGTATATTAGATAGTGATAGGATGATATGCACTTGGGAGAGTTGGTGATGAACCCGTTGGTGAGGATTTCTTTGAAGAAACTTGTTGTACATATTCTAAAGAAGTAGGGTGGGGGGTATAGGTTTATGTGGACACCTAGTTTGTTGACAAAGTTTAATGACACTAACTCTTAGGTTGCTTTATTTAAAAATCAAGTGTGAATTCCATTTTGCTCTTGAAAGATATTTTTTTTTAATTTATCCCTTAAATGATTAATTTTTTCATATTGACTCCTTAAAGAATAAAAAAGTTGCAATGTGGTCTACTGTCTTATTTTTGTTTGGTCGTTTGTTGTTTTGTGTCAAATCAATTAATCAGAAATCACAAAACGTATGGACGTTCAAACGAAAATAAGATGATGTATTACATTATAATGTTTTTTATTCTTTGAGGTGGTAATGTGAAAATATTAATCATTTCGGAGACAAACTGAGAATTTTTATATCTTTAAAGAGACAATAAGATTTTTCCAAAAATCAATAACTAATTTAAATATGACTCTTTAATACACCCTGTAATATAACAATCAAACGATCTCTTAAAGGAATATAAAAAGGCGTTAAGAATGTTATGAACTTTATAATAATAATAATTAAGGGTTAATTGAAAATTAATTTCTTTTCATGGGATAATATGGATATAGTAAATATGTATAGAAAATACTATAATTTGTTGATTAATGGGTTTTATTTGTCAAGTGCACTGTGATACCAGAAACTATAACCGGGGCGGAGCTAGAAACTTGCGGTGATGGGGGCAAAATTTTTAGCAATAACAATATTACATGTACTAAATTTAAAAAGTTAATGCATTACCATCGTAGAATTAAAAAATCAATTGTATTTAATTATGGACCCTATGTTAATTCAAATATTAAATTATCAAAGTAAACCTTCTAATTATATGTTTGTAACATTTCTTTAACAAAAGTAAAATTTAACATTTTGAAGTAATAATAAATTAAAAGAGGTGGTCCATCATGTGACTTTTATTAGTCTAGGGTCATATGTACGCTACCTTATCTCACATGTAAATCTTTAGATGTATCAAAAAGTCATAATAGAACAACTCTATCTTTACTATTGTTATTGATTAATTTTTATATTATAAAAATATTGCATAATAATATTATTATTCGATGTATTAAAATTAACAAATATGAGAGAAATGAGACAAAATATAGAAGAGGGAACGAAAAAACTTCAAAATTTATTGAACACATGTTTGAGAGATTCAATTAAATAAATAATAATTAAGTTCACTTAATTGAGTAAAAAAAAACTTAATCTTAAATGTTATAAATTATTAAATAGATTAAAATATATGAGTTTTTTAGTGGGGACAAAATAGAATATATTAAAATTTATATAAAAAAAAGTTTGGACAAAAAAATTGAGTGGGGGCAATGTGTAGCTCCGCCCCTGACTATGACGGCATAGATTTTACACCTGTTAGAAAAGTGGGGGGAATGTTATTGTAATTTACCCAACAATAAAACAAACGGACAATTATACCCGGATGTCACGATGTTTTTATCATAAAAATCCGATAAAGTTTGTAGTACTTAAACTCTTATTGTGATTAATATATTTATTAGTAAATTATAATTAGACCTCTTAAAATTTATAAACGTATATCAATTAGATCTCTCAAATTTAAAATATTATATTTAAATTCTTTATTAATTATAGAATTTGATAAATCTATTAAACGATTACATTATCTCAATTAAAGATAAAAGATATTGTGTCTATTATAGTTTGTTTTCTTATTTGATTTTTTAGTTTTATTCTAATAATGGTATGAAAATGAGTGTTGAATTGAAATTTTTTATATATTTTTAATGATTATAAATATATTATTATAAATTTATCAAAAATTTGGGATTTTATTTGAGTTTTATATCAATGGATGGTATAACGAGACATGATTAAACTTATTTCATATATTTGTACTTGATGATGAAAAAATTAACCTAAAGTGAAATGTCTATTTAATCCAAGATGCTCAAAGTATACCACTCATAACTTCTAAATGCAGTTTATACTTTTGAGTTACTTACTAACTTAAGCATCAAAGAGTCGACTCTCGGAACTCTCCTCCAGTTGTTAACTTCTTTTTTAAGTGGTCAAAGTCCAATAAACTGACGTTGAAATCATCTAAAATTTAGCATAAATAATATTAATTATAGTTTTTTAAAAAAATTAGATTTTTATTTTAATAAATGATATAATAAAATATGAAATTTAGTTGTAAAAATTCAAATATTTGATATTTGATATTTAATTGACAAATTTTTTTGTTTAAATATAATATTTTAAATTTAAGGGGTCTAAATAATATGCTTCAAATTTTAGGAGTTTAAAAATAATTTATTAACAAATATATTAACGGACAATGACGGCAGAGTCTGTGTTATAAACTTGAGGGAGTTTATGTATAATTTTTTAAATATTGAGGGATATAAATGATTAAGTGGCAAGGGAAGGGAGTCTGAGTGTATTTATCCTAAAACAAATGAAAAAATGCGTCGGAATTACTAGTACAAAATGAAATTCCATATAGTGCCTCCAACTTCCAAGTCTTCCGCTCTATCTATCTCTCTGTCTCTCCAATGGCGGGTCTCAATGGCTCTCTCAGATCCCAACCACCTTCCTCCTCCCAACACTCCTTCGCCACCAAACTCCTCCTCCTCCTCACCCTCCTGCCTCTCACCCTCGCCGTTTTCGCTTTCGTTCTCCAATGGCGTGGGGGTGGCATCGACGACCCCATTTCTCGATGGTCTCCAGAAGAGTCCCACAAGTTCCCGGGGATGGACAGCTCTCCTCTCGCCACCGTCGGACACTCTTCTTCTCACTCCTCTGATTGCACTCTTCTTGGCCACAGCTCTTCGCCTTCTTTCCCTTACTACAGGGATTGGAAGTTCAATTTTGAAGCGGATCTTAAGCCTAAGGTATGTTTCTGAACTAAATTCATTTTGATATCTGTAGATATGCTTATTGGTCTTTGTGGGTATTGTTTCATTTTTGGTGGGTTTTGCTTATTTTTTGATTTGTGGTGTTTTAGGTTTTCGATTGTGTTGGATTGTTTGTCTGCTGGGTGGGGAATTTGGGGAAAGCTAAAAAAATAAAAAATAAAAAATAAAAAATAAATGGAATTGATGCTTTTGTTCTACCCTGGTTTCTGAATCAGTGAGATAATTTTATGAGTACTAGGCTTAGATGAGTGGTTTTCTTTTCTAAACGGGGGTTCCAATGTTGGAAGATCTATCGTTTGAATATTTAAACAAATAATTAGATTACCTGATCGAAAAAAGGAAGCATCAAATATGTTTTGGATTTCAAATACTTTGGTGGGTTGGCATGTGTTGCAATAAAGAAATAGAACTCTGGTTCAATGAATGCTGGGCCGTATAGAGATCGGCATTGTATTGTGATCAAATTACATCTTTGGTGGGAACTGTGGAGTATGTTGGGAATCTCATAACTATCGGACTTATAAGGAACTCATTGCTGTTTCTGATTTTGTGCATGGTGTGGCAAAGTTTGCTTGGTCATGTGGTTGTCATCTAACACTCCCCATCTTACCTTGGCAGTTCCATCTTCCTGCAATGTCATAGTTATATTATCAGAGATTCAGAGAGAAAATTTTTCTCTAGGATTTTGAACCTAATAGATGGTGAGGAGCTTAGTTTAGGGTCAGCATTGCCACTCCCCCAGCAAGATTCTGGGAGTATGGCGATTATTATGTGGTTGTTTGGTTACATGACCCTGCACTCGGACTGTATTGCTCTAGGCATTCTTCTATCAGTGTTAACCTTAGGTTTCTGTTCACTAAGCAAGCACAGAGCCTTTTTATTTTTAAGGTAATGGGACTCTGTGTTACCATAAGACAGGATGACCCAAAGGCCATCTTTATGCCTTTTCAGACCCAAGGCTGGAGGCCTTCCTTTCAATTATGTCTTTTGTGGAACTATTTAGAGATTGAACCACGTTGTGCCCTTGGGGGCTGCACCCCCCTAAACTTTTTTAAATTATACTTTTTATTCTAAATTATGGTCTTACTTTTTACTTTGTTCCATAAACTTTTTATTTGAACACTTCACCATTAACCATTCAAATTCGTGACACTTTGCCCAAATTGGTGAATTTTGGACTTAAAATAGTCTCAAATTTTGGATGTAAGGTGCAATGTGTTCATATCAACACTTAGTGGAAAAAATGAAGTCAAGATCATTGTTTAAGGTCACAGAATATAATTTACCCAAACCCAACATATATGGAGTTATATGATAAATATTTGATAGATCTACACTCTCTCTTCCTCATTTTGTTCGGCTTTTTGCACTTTGCAAAGGCCAAATGAAATTAAAATGTACTTGAGTCATTATGTGATAAATTTGAGTTGAAATTGTTGATTGTTTGATAAATTGATCCAAAATTTTTTACATGTATTTTGATATGTCTAAATTTATTTTCTTAGTTTTTTTTGAAAACAAACAATATTTTAATGTGTCATATTGAAAAGTGATTTTGATAGGTCGAATATGACCAAAAAATTGATCTTAACAGAAAATTATTGAATGAAACCATTGAATAAAAATATCTAGTACTGTCACTATTTGGCTCCTCGGGGAATTAAATTCTGACTTGTTCCCTAGTTCTCTGGTCTCGTTGTAAATAGAAGACCACAAAGGAATAGAAAGAATGGTCTACTTTGATCTAGTGACCCTTTCCAATGAGAGAATGACAAGGTAGAATCCATTGCAATTGAAAAACGAGAAAGTTAGATGGACAAAACAACACCATGAACAAATGCCTTAACTGTTGCATCCAAGGAAAACAACTTTAATTTCATCTTTTCTATCAAGAATCGAATTACTACATGAGTAGATACACTAACGCACATACAACACATAAGCAGACACAATCCTAGTCTCATGAAATTATTTTTGCCCCCTTTTCTATGGCTCGATACTCATTGAAATCCAAAGAAAAAGATATCTACAAGAGAGGGGGTGGGTGTCTTAAGTTTTGAACTTACAGGGGCTTTTGCCACTTATCTATGTAATCAAATGAGTTTCGTGTTGAAGGTTTAGTGCTTGGACACTAATAAAAATAAATAGATGTTGTACACATTCAGGACTTGAATAGAAACTAAACGTTTAAGACTCGTTTGGTGGTTGTATTACAGAGATTAAAGGGATGATTGAACGAAGGTTTCTGTAATCTGTTCTTATATTTATTTGCTAAAAACCAATCTGTATCATACACGAGAGTCTGTCGCACATCGCAATCGCAATCACAATCGCAAACATATGATTTTAATACACTTTATCTATCTACCAGGCCAGTTTTAATATCAAGGGGAGGTGGTATTATACTTTAACCCAACCACATTATATTATAGATTTATCATTTTACCCTAAAAAAACTAATAAAAAACATCCGTTTGCATGTTACGCACAAACCCACATAAACATCCTTGTGAATGTCTAAACCTCTGCAACGACTAGATTTGATAGTCAATGAGGTGGGCCGTCAGCTAGTCAATTGGTCTAGCCAAGCTATTTTGCCTAGAAATTCTATGGCCCGCGACCTAGAAATTCTATGGCCCGCGACCTGCCCATGAGACTGGCCCTAGTATCTTTATTTTTTCCAAAATTTTTGGATAAGTTTGACTGAATTTTTAATCAGCATTTTATCTGGTCAATAGGTCAGGATGCCTTGGGAATTAATCGGGCTAGCCAGTTGGACTAGTGGACCAACAACCATGGCTCATGGCCCGACTTGTTTGGCTGTCAAGTTACCCCCTTAGAAGCCATGCGGTGGCCCGATGTACCCATGACTCATGTGCTACGGGCCATTCGCCAAGCTTATGCATGTATTAATCCCCCATGCACATGCCTCCACAATTTTCTAGCTTGAGGTGATGTCAGTTGTTCCATTATGACGACAAATATCAGTAATTTTGTCGCACCCCGGTTTTTGTACCCTGAATCCCAAAGAGTGAGGTATGTACTATCACGAATTAAGCATCAACTTAAGATACATTAGGCAAGAAATTTACAAGATTCGTCCCTTTACAATAATTTAACACATTATTTGAATATTTCCATAGTCAAATGCAGTAGCAAAACTCTCTCAGACATTTGAAATAATTATCCCTATCTGGTACCAACTGCCAACATATTTACCTTTAGAATACCTTTAACAAATCTTAAAAAAAAATATATCAACAATTTAGGGTGAGCACAACTCAATAGGTAAAACATGTTCCAAAATACACTAAGATTTGAAAATGTAATACTTTTGCCGATATATATATATATATAGAAAAATACTTTGATGCATGCACAAAAGATGCTTTATTGAGCATTAAAAGTAATATCCGTGCCACACCGGAGTACAATTAACCATCCTAAGACATCACAATGTGATCATCACATCGTAATCATCATATAAACCTTTTAGGGACTTTCACCCTATGAATATACACTCCCTCATGTATCACCTGGTACCCAAACCCGAATGTCATTTGGCCATTAGGTACTTACGAACTCAATGAAATCCTCTATGGCCTCAACTTGGAACATAAGCCCTCTATCGCTCAATCCGTGTGCACATAACTTAATGAAACCATTGTCTCAAAATATGGTGAGAAATGTCACAATTTATTTGGTTTTATAATATACAACCAAAGCATCATATTGTAGGAAAATCCATGTTTGTTTTGAACTAGGTAATAAAAACCTCCAGTTGATCTGTTCAAAAAGAAAATGATTCAGATAAGAATAAAGCAATATTGTTAAAATATTCGATCATTATAAAATAATTAAATAAATAATATTTTCCAAAAAATATAAATATCTCGTTGAGGATGAAAATCCCCATCTATATCCGAACAGGAGTAGAATGGTCTAAAACACAGTCCAAAAATGGGTCCCACACACCCTCACTTGTTGACACAATTTCTAGACCAATTATTGTCCAGTTGTCCTATCCATCATCTTCCTCACCCAATGAGTCATGTTTTGGGTCAACGGGTCAGTTCGGATAAAATGCAATTACTCCCTCATTTAACTCCAAATGAGGTGATTCCAAAGCCTATGAACCGAGTCCTCTATCTAATAGAACTGAGTCCTCTTTCAAAACAACACTCAAAATAAATAGATCTAAGTTTAAAGTTTTGGCCATCCATACCCATGAAAATTTAGGCATGCAACTTCAAAATTGACCATCAAATCATCAATATTTCTTAAATCAAACATCATATTTGAATTCCTGGACCCCAAAAACATAGGACTGGGTCCTTCTTTCAAATACAAACCTCGTTTTTAAGAATACTCATTCAGAAGTTTAATCGAAACTTTCGGATCTCCAAATTCATGCATTATGAAGTCCAACCACTACAAAATCCATACCTAAATATGTTCAGAAACATGTTGAGAACCATTTAGATGTTTGACATCAGAGGAAACTCAAGAATTTCTAGTTGACCGGTTTTCTTTAAAGTGGTTCTTTTGAACCCATTTCTTGATTTGGCTGAATTACACTATTCTAGTCCATTCCAAAGCTTCAAAAATGATATAGGAACTCACAGAAATCTTACCCAATGCTTCAGAGCTTCCCCTCTTCAGACTGCTGGAGCCTTCCTCCTTTTCTTATTGCTCACTTTCTCTCTTTCCTTCCCTTCTTTTCCCCCCTCCACCCAAATTCCTTATCTTCAGAAATTAGAACTGAACCACTGAAGCTTGGGTCCCTTTTTACAGCAACAATTTCAGTAGCTATATTGGTCTTGCGTGGCCAACTTCTCTGGGAGGTTTTGTTACATGGGTTGATCTAATTGAACCATAAACCCTCCAATCTGTTCTTATTTAATTATGATATTATGTCATTTATTATTTTATTTGATATTGGTTTTTTTTTTTTCAAATCAAATTATAAGTTGGATCACAACTCCGATTATCGATTCACCGGATTTCTTTTCCAGACGTTGGGTCAAACTCTGCTGTTTTTGTTCCACCGTTCTATACTATATCTTCATTATTATACTTATTTATTTTACATTGGATTTGCTTTGAATTAGGGCATAATTCAAACGCCGTTTTTCGCCGGATGTTACAAATTTATGCCAATATATTTCCAAGAATGGCCTCTACAACCATTTCTTCAATATGTACTCCCCCTGATAGGAAAGTAAATATGTATATTTTCAAGTATAAATACACTAAATGAGGGATTGGATTGAACTAGATTGAGGGCATTTTGGCCAATGCGACATCAAAACCATGGAATAAATGACCTAACCAAATTAGGATGGATTGACTAACTATTTTTTTTGGCTTTTAGTCATGCATATTGCCAAACATTGGATTGAAATGGAGAGTATTTTTATCCCCATTTAATCTCGTGTTTTATCGGCTCTAAGAATTAGTTTGGATTCCCTAATCCAATCCTCCCTTTTTTTAATAGGACAACCAAATGAGCGAGCCCTTAGTTTGATTATATGCTCAGTGTGGTTTTAGGTAAGTTATTACTTAGTTGTACTACTAACCAGTGTTACTGGTACTAATCCATGTAAACTGATAACATTATCTCCTGTTATGGACCATCATGGTGCCATATAAGCTGTTATAATCCATTTCTGTGCCACAATGGCCTGTTATGAGATGTCAATTGACTTGCATATGATTCTAAATATCATTTTTTTAAATGCCAGATAAATTAAATGTCATAACATTTCATCTTAGGGTTAATTACAAATTGCCTCCTACAAGTTTAGGTTATGTTGCAATCAACTCCCTTGGGTTTCAAATTCAACAAATTGCCCTCAAAGTTTAAATATTTTTCAATTATCTCTTGTTATTAGTTTTAAATGGGCAAAATTGACGGACATCAGTTACATGATCTCAAATTTATTAAGAGACAAATTTACCCCTAAGAAATTCCTCAAATTCTTTCCTAAATACCCTCATGTTCTTTGACCAAAAAAACCTACAAAATAAAATTCATATACTCAAAAATTTAAAAACAAAACTCTCCAGCACAACACAAACACCACCCGCAATCCACCTACATCACCCAGCACTAGTTCCACCTGTAGCTCCACTTCCACCAAGCACCAACCAAAACCAAGAGCCTACATATCAGCACACACAACACCAACAAAAACTAGCCCACAAGTCAACACACACACAACCCCACACCAACACGAACAACCCCACTTCTCTCGTTGCATCTATCTCTTTTAGTCAAATTTTTTCCTCCCTTCTTCATTACACTTACGAATTGCTCACAGGCACAGACACAACTAAGATCACTTGTTCATGACTTCGTGGCCACATCATCATCATTCAAGTTCTTCCTCGGAAATTCTTTTGTAATTACCCTGACTGAACCACCATCAGAACACCATCTCAAATTTGCAATCACCACTGCCAACCCACTTGTATATCAAAGTCAGTTATGCAACCTAACAAGGTATAAGTAGATGTATACATATATATATGTATAGAGATAGAGAGAGAGAGAGGGGGGGAGAGTTCAGTAGTAAATTAGAGAGAGACGCTTTGAGGTGTAGGTTTGGCAACTTGCAATGGGGGTTTGTGAGTGTATGTGTGTGTTTGACAGGTGGGTGGATGTGAGGACAGTGATTTTGTCGGAGTGGGTAGAGGGATGTATATATTTCTGTGGGTGTCTGTATAGATATATTTATGACAGAGAGAGATAAACTGGGAAATCTGGAGAGAGTGGATTTCATCTTGGGAGTTGTTGGTGGGCTAGCTATTTTTTGTCGGAGGAAATAGATATTTTTGTTGGGGGCAGAAGGGGGATACGGTCAGAATGGGAAGGGGAAAGGTGGTCTGGTGCTAGCGAAGGAGGATGGGTTGGGGCAGGGGTGGTGGATGCAGTTGAAGGAGGGGGAGTGTGGGGCTGTTATGTTTTAGGGGGAAAAATTGATGAAGGGTAATCTTCTCTTTTAAGTGAATTGATATCATGTGATTTGCACGTGATAATATTCCGTCACTTTTGACTATTGAAATTAACGGAGACAATTAATTGAAAAATTTTCAAACATTGTTTACCCTAATTTGTTGAAAGTGAAACCAAAAGGAGTTGGTTGTAATATGACCCAATTTTGAAGGGGGCCAATTTGTAATGAACCTTTTATTTTATTGTCCAGAATTTAGTTTTACCCTGGAGTAAACTCTATTTTGTTATATCTATGATCTCAATGTTAGCTGAAAGTCTTTGCCACATTGATTGATACTTTGGGTAGTAACATTCAGAAAATCTTTTCCACTAGATGACTTGTAGGAGGTGAGAATAAGGATCGAAATTTTGTTTCGATGTACCGTTTCGATCAGCTCAAAAACGGAAACGTTTCGGAAACGCAGAAAAAATATGGAAACACAAATACAATTCATTGATTTATAAAGATAAGCTAAATAATTGATTAATTCAACATACTTATTGGGTTAATATCCATTTATACAAGAATAAATTTAAATTAGCGGGAAAAAAGGCTTGACATAAGGTGGAAATTACTTAAATTAGTTTCAAATACTTATTTTTCATCAAATAAACACATTTTTACATAATGTTAAGGTCTCATAATACATATAAAATGCTAATGTAATTGCAATGGGGTATTAACTATTAAATGTAATTACAGTGGGGTATTAGTGGGTATTAAATGCAATTGTAGTGTGGTATAAAATGTAATTTTAGTGGGTATTAATTATTAAATGTAATTACAGTGGGGCATTAAATGTAATTGTAGTGGATATTAAATATAATTACAGTGGGGTATTAAATGTAATTATAGTGGGTATTAAATATAATTACTGAGGGTATTAAATATAATTATTCATACTTATATATATATAAGGCAGAAGACGCACAGTAGGCAGAAGACCACAACGACTCAAGACTTTCAGACAAAAAACGCAGAGAGGCAAGAGGCGATAGGAGAGGAGCCGATGGGATGTCGGTGCCACCACAGAGAGAGAGAGAGAGAGAGAGAGACATACTGGTGGTCGCAGCGATGAAGACAACTCCCAAGCCCTAGATCTGCATTGGATCTGCTCAAATCTGGACTCTAAGAGGTAAGTTACTGAAGCCTTATCTTTCAATTTCTGGTCTATAGTCTCTGTCTCTTCGATTTCGTCTGGTTCTTTATCTCTCTCTTCTCTCTATTTTTTTTTTTTTTTGCTTGAAAGACCTGAACTTGGTATGTGATTTCTGAGGTTGCAGGACCAGTCTTCTGACATTTTGCTTGGGGAATCTTTAACTTTCTCAGAGTTCTTTTTTTTTCTTTTGGCCTGGAGTGAAGTTTCTGAGATTTTTGTGGTCATCGTTTTGTCGAAACTGTAATGTTTCGACCGAAACAGTCTGACACAGTAACGTTTCGTCCGAAACTTTAGAATTTTGGGATTCAACCCATGTTTCGTGTCGGTGTGTTGAAATTCCGAAACGTTTTGGACGTTTTGACACGACATTTAGATCCTTGGGTGAGAAGGGCCGAATGATCAGCATCGTATTTAATTGTGACCATAGCCATAACTAATATTATGGTTTACACCAATTAACCTTACTCATTGTATGATAGGGGAGACATAAACATATTGAATGTAACATTAGGCTCAATTTGTAATTTTTTTTTCTGATTTGTAGCAAAAACTGGTTCTGATTTGTACTGAGTGTAGATAGTTGCCCCTGCTTAGGCTTTTTTCCTTTGTTCTGGATGTTGCTGTAAAAATATTTGGACAGTCGAAAAAACTTTATTGTTCAAATTTTCTTGGATAATTGTGTTTTGTTTAGTAAGCATGAAAATTCTATGCTATGTACTGAATTGTTAATGGAAATTTTCGAAACATAAACTGCGTTTGTCAAGTGAAAAAATGTAGAAGATTCTCATAAACAATGCAACATGCATAGGCAATATCAAGATTGATGAAGAGTTACAAAATTCTTTGAGTATAGTGGATGAATGGATACCAGTACCCCATTGCATTATTGATGTAAGCCCTCATAATTTGTCAATCACCACATCAGGGAAAATTCATTCTTTTCTTTCCTTGTCTTCTTCCTTCAAACCTATCTCCCATTTTAAATCAAAAAAGAATACTCACCAGATTCCATGATCTTTTCATTTTTTGCTGCTGATTTGGTTTCCTTTGTTTTATGTGTTTCCTGCTTGTACTTGTGAAGTTCATCTTATTCTTCTTATATACTTGTTCTCTATACCCCATCTAAATTTCAGTCTTTATTAAAATAAGAACCAGTGTTAATGATTGTCCATGACCTTATATGGTTCTGCATCTCAATATGCAGATATGTATTACGACAAGTACCTCAGCTGGCTTAGAGCAGATCCTGCCATGGATGTTCTATCATAAAGTTATTGGGGTTTCAACCTTTTTTCTGTTTGTGGAAGGAAATGCTGCATCTACTAGTGTATCTAAAGTCCTGGAATCTATTCCAGTGAGTTTGTCTTCTATATAACATTTTTTGGTCTTTCACAGGGCTTCCTATCAAAATCATATTTGCATTTAGGATGTTGTTTGACATTATGACATATCAATTTTGTTGTTTCAAATTGACTGAGCTTGAGTTTTTGTTTTTTTCTCAGGGAGTAAAAGTAATCTACAGAACAAGAGAGTTAGAAGAGCAACAAGCCAAGAGGTTAGTCATTTTTTCTATCTTCGTGATTGGGTTGAAATCAGTTGGATTTTAGGGATGAACTGGAATTTTTATCCTAAATTATTTTTACTTACTCTCAATTCACCTGATGAGGCTAAATTTTACAGGGGAAAACAAACAGAATTGGTGATGCACCTTAGCATATTGGTTCCTGCACTATTTTTTGTTCATGTCATTTTCTGTTCATTTTTGTTGAATTCACCCTGTCTTTCCAGTTAGATTTCCAGAATTTCAAAAAATGGAGCTGCTATTTGTTTGATATATGCCACTGTCAAAATTCTTCAGCTCATATATATCTATTAGCTGTTTGTTTCTTACTCATTTACTAATTGCTTTGTTCTTGTTTTCCCTAAGTCGGATCTGGAATGAGACATGGCTGTCCAGTTTCTTTTACAAACCATGCAACCACGAGCTCTTCGTGAAGCAGTCTCTTAATATGGAGATGGCTATTGTCATGGCAAGGGTATATATGTTTCTACTCTTGCAGATCAAATTAATCATCGATCATTTTTATTTGTAATTTATGAAGTCTTGATCTTTTCTTAATCAATGGACCCTCTTACATGTTAAAATGCTAGGATTCTGGGATGGACTGGATAATTCATCTCGATACGGATGAATTACTACATCCAGGCGGTGCACGGGAGTACTCTTTGAGGCAGTTGCTGCTGGATGTGCCTAGGAGCGTGGATATGGTTGTCTTTCCGAACTATGTAAGTTACTTGATATGCATTTGGTTGAATTATCAGAACGTGGTCATATTCTTTTGGCAATTTGTAAAAAGATGTTAGGCACATCAGCTTTGTCATTCTTCTATACATTCTGTTTCCTTTTCCATGAATAACACAATAGCGTTAGCGACTTCGTTCTAGTTTCATGTTGATACTTCTCATGTTCAGGAGAGTAGTGTTGAAAGAGACGATGTCAAGGAACCTTTCACTGAGGTAACTCTTTCTCCCGGTGTTGATCTTTCTTTTTTATCTATCACGATGTACATCATTGATTGATGCTTCAATATTCCATAGAGTGGTGGAAGATGTAGGCATGTAACTATAGTCACCTATTGTCCTTTATCAGTATCTGCCAACAGCCAACTCATATTTTATAATTAAATTTTTGATTTTGGATCAGAACCAGTTGCTTGGTTCTTTAAACAATATTTTGTGTATTTGAAGGGTATAAAAACGCGTGCCTTTGCTTGGTCAAATCGAACTTGATTTCTCTTCCTGATCCATATCGCACATTGCTTACAACACTATATGCCAACTCTTATGTGTCTTGAGGTAACATCAGGATGTGCCCTCTTGCGCAGCTTACTGTCATACCAAGTAATTAAGTCATCACTGGAAACCTGTGCTTTGTGTCTGAGTTTTTTGAGTGATTGTTTGTTGCACATTTTTCTTGTATAGGGAAAGAATTAGAATGTATGGAAAAGAACAACAGTGCATGAAAATAATAGGGCCACCTATATTGTATATTTTTCCAGGAAGGAAGAAATGTATAATATACAATGAAATGAAACTGTGCTTGAAGGTGGTAACATTATATTTATGAATGTGTGATTTCCAAATTCTAAGTCATTTCAAATGATATGGGGCATACAAAGTGTGGAACTTTGAAATGGAATTTTGCCTGCTGACCCCGAGGACCTGGGATAAGGCTTTGAATAGTATTAGATCTGAACAAGATTGTGAATATTTCTGAGTTGGTTAAGTTTTCTTATTTTCCTTTATTATATACCCTATGTAAATTCTAATAGAGGTCAAAACGAGGTGGAACATGTTTTGCTTATGTCATACGATTGTGGATGCCATCATTACCCACCAGCTTGATTCAAGGGGTTGTGCCTTACCCAGGAGTAGAACTTATTGTAGTGTTGTCGGAGGTGCTAGACGGTTGCAATAACATCCAATGAATAGTTTGCAGTACTTTGAATTCTCTGCCTAAATTATACAGTATACTGTAGACATTATCTCCTGTCTATACCTCACACACACACATGCACACACACCAAAAAAATAAATAAAAGCAGAAAATGTCACTAAAATGGGTCCATATAGGCATATACCCTCCTTTGCTTTCAATCCACAGTTTCTTTCTTGAAGTTCATTTCGCCAAAAAAGTTTTAAATGGAGAAGGCTCTTAGTTTCTGCTGTTGCAAAGCAACTTAACTAAGGGTAAATAAATTTGGGTTTCGTTAAAGATAAGGTCTTTTTTTTAATTCTTCACAGCAAAATGTCTCATTCATGCTGTTATGTACTTACTTTTGTAGATGGATATTATCATTGACATAATTTTCTTTTGTTGTATTCATGCAAAATAGGTATCCATGTTCAAGAAGAACTATGACCATTTGCCAAAGGATACCTACTTTGGCATGTACAAAGAGTCAACTCGTGGTAACCCAAACTACTTTTTGACTTATGGAAATGGGAAATCAGCTGCTCGAATTCAAGATCATCTTCGTCCAAATGGTGCACACAGATGGCATAATTATATGAAAACCCCAAAGTATGTTATTTCTGTAATCTTGGATCAACTGAGTAATATTCACAAGCCTATTTCTTTACTACCTCGTTACCTACATGTCAACTATTGTCGGTCATACCTTCTCTCTGTTATATGCATTTTTATCGATTTGTAGAATTGACAGTCAAAGAGCTGTGTTGTTTTAATAGGCTATAAAATGATTTCTTTATAACTTTTTGACAGTGAGATCAAATTTGAAGAGGCCGCTGTTCTACATTACACGTATGCCAAGTTTTCAGACTTGACTTCAAGACGAGATCGATGTGGTTGCAAGCCGACGAAGGAGGATGTAAAAAGATGTTTTATGTTGGAATTTGACAGATCTGTGAGTTCAATGCCTTATTCTTTTCTTCTTGTTTACTTTTTCACCTTTTTGGTTTCCGGCTTTTTACAGTCTGAAAGTAATTTCAGTGATTTTATTATATATCGAACTATATCATTCTCGAATAGTTTTTGTTCTTATTACTAGAAGGTAAGATATACACTAAATCTGCACTTCTATGCAACTAACTGTGTTCTCATGATTCATGAAAATTAATATGTAAAATGATAATGTTTTGGTTATAAGTAATATTTGCGAAGAATTCAAACACCATATACACTTCTATAAGCATTATAGGACTATGTATAGTTATGATTAGAGGATGATTGCTTTGATAATTTTAAAAATGGAATATCCTATAAAGTGTTGGATTCCTGTGGTTTTTCCTTGATAGTGGACAAATATAATTATGTCATTTTTTACAATGGTATGTGTTTCTGTTCTGGAGAAATGCTGTGTTGGGGATCTCATATTTGTTTTCAAACAATAATAATATACAAATCTAAAAGTGCCTTGTTGAAATTTTTCTTGGAAGGTTTTGAAGCTAGGCACTAAAGTTGGAATGTTATTTTATAGGGCCTACATATAGGAAGCACTCCCTCCCCAAACCCTCCTCATTGTTTGCGTCCTTGATTAAGAGGTCTGGTTGCCCTAGATGAGCCTTTTTGGCATGCACTTTAGAGCTAAGGTTCATTGTATTGTGTGTTTGCTGGTTTTGTGGGTAAATCCATGTTATTAGTAAAAAATTTAGGACTTGTAAAAACGCCTTTCGTTCATACTTCATAGTAATTGGTCAAACAAGCTGCCACATCTCTAGAACATGGAGGAAAAAATGTTTAGAAACAAATAATACTGCTCATATTTCTTTTAATCTGCAAAGCTCTTTCAAATCTTCAAATTGTACTCGAAGTCATGAATGCAGCAACAGTGCACAAGGTTTAAGCAAAACACATGCGTAAATAGCGAATTGGTTGTATATTGACGAATTGGGTGGTTTTTGCTCATGCTCCTGCTCACGTAACAAATAAATGAACATCATTCCTCTGCGTCAGATGGTCTGTGACATGCTAATCTTGGGTGACCAAACTGACTGTTAAATGAGGTGATTTGAGGTCATTACAGCTTTTGTCAGTGCATATTGTGTTACTTTCATGCAGTGGCTATCTCTTGCGGGTAATCTTATTTGCTTCCTCCTCTTTCTTTTATGAAAACAATCTGTTGGCTTTAGAGACAAGGCTTTATTCATCAATGTCATGTAAGTTGTTGTGTCAACAAATATACAATGCTCTCCATTATTTATTTACCAGATTTTTCAGTCCAATTGTAGTGAGAATAAAAGTTTTTCAAAGAGAAGAAAACCAATGGAAGTATTTGAAGAAGGGAGACAATGATGAAAACCTAAGTACTGTGTAAACTGTTGAATTTTAACATTGCCTTGAAGATTGAAAGCAAAATTCCAAATTATACATTTTTGGATTTTTCCCGTCCAAAATTGGCTTAAAACTGTTTTCAAAATAAAAGCATATTAGTTTCACCTATTTCATGTAAACCCGTGGTGGTTTGTCTTTGAAAATTTTAGCATATTTACACTTTTTTAGATAATGTATCTTGTTAGACTGGTTAATGATGTTTATTTTAAATTTCACATGGTTTCTTGTCTTGAAGCTGAGTCAGCTGGGTGCTGAACTCCTTGTGATGCATATTTGCATCAAAACATCATTCAGAGGTGAAATAATTGACATATTTTCCTGTGTGGAGTTTCCAGAGAATGAAGATAGATTGACTCTTTTCTCAGGGAGAAAGTTTCAATTGAAATATTTTCTTTATCTATAATGCTTGCGAGAATGAAACATGGATTGATGTTGAGTACAATAACTAGCAAATGATTGTGGATGCATCATAATCAATGTATGTTATTGTATGAGGAGCTTTGAAACCGATACTTTGTTCACAGTGAGAGTTTTTAGTACCAATGATGAGTTCTTAGATGCACTTTTCAAGATCTACTAAGAAAATGAGAAAGAAGGTATAAATTGTGGTGCTGAGAAATCTTTGATCTGCATAAGAGAAGTGGTACAAAATATGGGAATGATCTAGGTGGAGTATTTAACCCATTGAGTTTGGTCAGGCTCAAAAAATGGCAAGGAGGAGGATGAGTCTGAGTTGAGTCACCTCTGGACTTAATCGATGTTATATTGATTGTGGTTATGTGTACTAAGCAAGTAGGAAGAATCTATAGGTTCATTAGGAAATGACTCTTGTGTTCTGGACATTTTTGTAATCATTGGTTTTGATGTGAATATTCAATGTAACATGGGACAATATCACATAATCCTGTCCAAAATTACAACTAAATCCCTAGATACGACATTTATAACTGCATGTAGTATCATCTGCACAATGAATAGTATTTGCTCCAAATCTTTGTTCACTGAGCCAAAAATCCAGACCAAAGCTGTATGTCAGAAATTTCTTAATCTTTAATGTAAGTCGCCCATACTGCTGGAGCAAAGAAATCTGGTGCATTTGATAGTTATGGTGCCTTGCTTCTGTTGTTTAGCTTGCACGGATGCTTTTAATTTCTCTCTCTCTCTCTCTCATGTGATCAGCATACAGAGTATGGGCAACTGAAATGTATTGTGTGCCAAATTCCTGCTTTGAATTTTTTTTATTACCCTTGGGTTCGGAACAGTGGATTACATACAAGTAGTATTCTGTGGAAAGCTGTTATTCAAATCCAGTCTTCATATTTGAAAAATGAATAGCTTAATAAAATTTTATTGTGTCTGAAACAAAAGATAATTGAAGTTGTTTCAAAAGGTTGCATTATAATTTATGAAGCTCCAATCACCTATTCATATAATGTTTTATTTTGGAATGACTTTATAGCTATATTTTAATTCATGTTTTACACCATTTTTACCAATCTGATATCCAGACAATGGATTTAAATTGGCTGAATCTTGGTATTAAATACTTAGTTGGATATCGACAGTGACTACACCTTACCCACCCTAGACTCTGAAGTGATAGGTGTCCTGTGAAGCGGGTTACCCTATGTTTGACAGGATGAGTTGCGAGGATGGATTAGAAGTAACTAGGTTCTTAGGTGAGCAGTAAATGAATTTTTTTTGTTCATCTGCTATGGAGGGCGGTATTATGAACGGTTAGTGCTTAGGAGCAGTTTGCAGGTCCTCAAAAGATTGTTGAAGACTAAAAACACTCCAATTGACTTTTGTGAGCACATATTGATGGATTGTCATATAGAAGAAGTTAATAATGAGAAGTGGCACACTAGGATTCATTCTAGTAATAAGAGTTTGATAAAGCTTGACGGTTGGTGGGGTAGATGCAGATTACCTCTGTTTGTATCAAGCCATTGATGGGGTGGTTAAGTAGGATTTTCAGGTTCAAGAGGTGATCCATGATGAATTGTTAATCAGTAATCCTATTTTTTCAATGAGCAGGATTAATGCTGTGTCTTTTTTTTTTATTTTCATGTCAATACACCATAGAAAATGTTAAAATGGCTTGTTTTCAAGAATTCAGAGAAGCTGCTGTCCAATTTGAGGATTTTAAATTTTGTTATTCCAGGGCATCAATTTCTTGAGTTGCAACTACGTTATTTGAGTTCCTATAATCTTTTATGAAATTTCCTAGTACCAAATGGATTCTTAGTTGTAATCAAGGAGTGAGCCCTAGTGTTGGCTTTTACATTTTGTGACTTTGATGAACTAGTGATGATATTCACTCTGTTTAATGGATTCTTAGAAGTGAGCAAGGAGGTGGTCATTTCTTTTCTTTATTACTTTTTGTATTGTTTCTCTTTTTGGTGGTAACTTGAATTACTTTTTAAGTGCCCAATATAGGCTTCATTGTAGACCATTTACTATCTTTTGCACTGTGGAGTTTTCATTAAGTTCCATCTTCAATATGGCATATCTTTATGATATATTTGGGTAATGCAGGCATTCATAATTGCTTCAACAGGGACAGAAGAGGAAATGCTAAATTGGTAAGGTTCAAATTACCGAACATATTCTTGTTGTTTCCCATAGTTTTCTCCTTAACTTTGTTCAATATATTATGGTGAGGACCTGTGAAGCACAAATGCTTCATTAAGGTTAACGTATCCGTATTGAATATGATATTCGTCAAATACTTGATAATACGTATTAGATATACACCAAATGTATCCAATAATAAATAAAATATATAGATACTTTGCGAATACTTCTATATACAGAGAAGTATGTATAGTTTTTAGTTTTAATCTTTACCCTTTTCTTTTGATTTCACGTATAATGCAATATATTAACAAAAAATCATATGAATTGGAAGACACATGGGTGTTTTGCAAGTATTATCCATTATCACATATCTAAAGAGTTTAAATGAGTTGACTACTTTTTAATTTTAGTAATAAATAATTCTAAACAAGCAATATAGTTAAATGTTGGTTCTTATTCCTTTAATTAATCACGTTTACTTTGTAGATGTACTTAAGACGATAGGTAACTTTTCGAAAATAAAAAATTGTTAATGTTGTTTATTATTGTTAAAGAATCATTAATTATAGCTATCAAGTTATTACATAATAGTGTGTATATATATATATATAGACAAATCTTGGCCGGACTCAAATCGTATTTTTTGGGATTTTGCCGTATCGTCGTATCTGTATTGTATCATATCCGTGCTTCCCAAGTGAGGACCATTCGAATCTAAGTACATTATTTCATTTGAGTGTTTTAAATGAACTCTTAACTTTCAATTCTTTTACATGTTTCTAATAATGTAGAGATTTTGTTCGTTGCTTCTTCTTCACTCCTTCAGGTATCATGAACACGTTGTGTGGACTGACAAAACACTAAACTTGAAACTGTTGAGGAAGGGCATTTTGACTCGAATATATGCTCCTATGGTAAGCAAGATCTTTACTCTCTTATAACAAGGGATTTATGGAGAAGGGGAAACACTTTGACAAGGAATTAATTCGTAACTGCCCAGCATCAACATTGCCATGAAATCGCTCCTTGTGTTTTCCGTTCCGTTTGAAGGCACACTTTCTGAAATCTGTAATATGGTTTTGTGTATGTGGCAACTCAAAGGTGGGTCTCTTCGGTCCAGAGCCATTTATATGTGGATAGGAACTCTAACCGTCTTTAATCTCTGTACAGTTCATACAGTTCTTTTAGCATTCATCTCTTAGCAAAGTCAACGGCCTGGTATTCTCTATCAATATTATACCCCAAGAGACTTGAGTAATGTTTTTTTTTCACACCTTGGTTTAGAGCCAAAGTTGGATGTTATTGCTGTAGTGTCAGAATACTCTCTGATTGGTATCCTGTTCTATTGTTATTTTTTACCACCTGACTTCTATTTTTCCTGTTTTTTATGTTCCAGGTTGTCATTCAAGGTTTGAGGGAGTCTGGCGTTTTTAGCTCTGTTATAGCATCTGCCCCCTCAACTCTCTCGAAGGACAAGTTCTTAGCATCCATTGAGAGGAGTAACTCATCCCGAGCTGCTGCTTCTAAATCACTTCCCTCAAGGAAGATTGGTAGAAGCAGAGAGTCTCAAGCCACCGCTAGGAAGGCTTTAGAGATTGCAGCTACCTCAATTCATGAGGCAGCTGTCCCGCCCTTGTCTCCCCCGGGCATGGATGGTGACCTCACGATTGAAGCTTGATAGTTCTCCTTGCATGACTTCTGCTGCTGCTTTTCTTCCATCTATCAAGACTGGGGGGAGAGAGAATGCATAAAAATGGAGAAAGATTTGAGCAAAGCAGAGTTGTGGTTGGAGTTCATTCTTGGTTCGATTCTATGGGTTATTCCCGATCATTACCCAAGCGGAGCTGTACATTTTTTATAGAGAAAGAGAGAGGCCCTACAGGTATTGCTAATTTGTCATTGGAGATCTTGGCCTTCGATTATTGTGTATAGAAATCAAATTGTGTTGATTGGCAGAAAATCTTCCTAATGCATTTTCTTGTTTAGAGCAGACTTTTTTTTTTTTTTCTCGCATATTTTTGTTGTATCGAGTCATTTTGTTGGTTCTTGCATAAAATAAATTTCATCAGGAGGAAAAGTATTTTCACTAATAATATTAGAAAACTAGGATAACATGCTTAAAAAGAAAAGAAAAAAGAAAAAGAAAACTATGATAGCATATTCTTGGAAGAATTGATGATGTTTGGATGAAGAAACATAAACTTTATTGTTTAAGAATTATCAAAATTAATTTTTGTCTATATTTTAGGTATTACGGGACAAGCTTAGGATTGAAAATTGTTAGTAATTTGGACGTTCTTTGTTTGAAGGATTATATAAAAATATATTTGATATTTTAAAGACCAAAATGATATAATTGAAATATTGGGAATTAAAATGAAACAAATCACTTATTTTGGGTACTTTCAGTGTAATTAATTCACAAAAGAATATATGAAATCCGAAGGAGAAGAGTGCCAAGTATAAATGTCGGATCAAATTCCAAAATTAACAAGGCATAGACAATCTGATTTTCTTTCCTATAGATATGTGAAAACTGTACCACACAAAGACAAATCAGTTGCATATAAAGCACACCATACTCTCCATGGGATTAAAAGATGAGTAGTTGAAAATTATTTGCAAATTGCATTCCACCTAAAGTTTATGCCATCCAAGAGAGCAAACAATCTCAATACCAATAATAACTGCCATGAATAGGCTGAATGGGTGCCCAATTGAAAACTAAACTAAAGTTATATGTTCAATAAACACTACAAAAAAAAAAAAAAAAAACACCCTGGGGCTTCCCCTAGCAACCTCATTCGTGTTTTGAGAAAATGAGGTTTTGGACAATGAAATTCCTGCAGAAAATACAATTCAGACAACACCAAAAGTTTTGAGAAAAATTACTAGAGAAAAATAAGTGCCTCAAAGATTCTGAATAGCCTAAAAAAATAACTCCTCATCTTTCTATTAATTTACGAGAATTTTAAAATTGGACATCATCTAGCTGATTAAAAGAAAAAGTTATACCCAGTACAGAAAAAGACTTATATTCTTCTAACTATCTTCCCTTATTAGCTTACCCTTGAGGCATCCTGCCATAGTGCCATATTGATGATTTGTTGCCCTTTGTATCCCAACATTTTCTTTCCAAATGATGTAGATAATCCACAAGCTTTAACATTTTTGGACTCTACTTATTTGTTGGCTGTAGTGGTGCCATTGGGAAGAGGATGATCTTGGTGTAATGGTAAGTTTGTTCTATTGTGATGAAGTATAGATTGGTCTCGTGCAAGATCAACAATCAAGTATGTGAAGGGGTGTAATTAATAAGACAATTAATAAAGTAATTAATGACAAAACAATAAATATCGGGTCAACACACAGATATATAGTGGTTCGGTCCAGATGACCTACTCCACTTTCGAGAAACGGCAGCGATGGCCAGAGGTCTTTATTTATGAATAAAGTAAGAGAGAGAAAGCTCTGGGAGATATACGCTCCGGGAGAGATACAATAGCTAGGAGAGAGAAGCTATGTGTGTGCAGGGAGATGTAGAGAGGTGTGATGAGATGTGTCTCTCCATGTGGAGAAAGCTTACAATATATAAATATTACCCCCTTAACCATTGATAGCATTTGGCATCGGGTAGCCTCGCCCAAAGACACCCATACTTTAGCCAAAATGGCAGAAGTCAGCATGCAAGCAAGGAAGTGGGTGGCTTGAATTGTGGGGCGATGCTAGCTTGAATAATGAGTCATGGGCTGGGCTATGGTTAGGCACGAATGTAATACAATTCGAATGCTGAGAGCTCCTGATACATGCACAACATGTGAGGAAGTTGGGCATGTGCTCTGTAGATGTTGGCAGTTTTGGGCAATTTTCTGGCGAGTGCACAGCATGTGGAATCTCTGTCAGATTCAGACAAGCATGCAGACACCAGTTATAACTTTCTTGTCATCCAATTATAACAGACCTCTAGTAACATTTGAATTACAGACATGTGCCTAGGTGGTTGGGCTTGTAACCGCTGCCCTGAACATGATGAATAGGGTGTTTGGGGTCTGTAATGCAACAGGAGAGTTGACACGTTTTTGTAAATAGACCCCAAGGTTGAGTTTGTTATACTTCATTGAGAGAGAAATGTTTGACTGTTGCCTGTAAATTCCGTGTTCTTTGCCTGTGTGTTTACTTACTGTTCATTCTTTATTCTATGTGCTTTCTGTGTGCATTCTGAGTATTTGACTGAGACTAAGTGTTGGATCTTAGTGCCATCACGAGGCAAAAATTTGGTGAGAAATTTATCCCCGTTACAATAGGTATGGTGAGGCAGTGAGGTAAAGCGGTGACGTAATTGTGAGGACACTACTTCCTCGGGAGGATAGTTGCAAAAAATAAGTATAATTAAGGTAGGATTGATCTTCATAAGTGCGTATTTTGATAATCTCTCTCTCACGTGCTCTTATCTTTCCGGTCTCCATGGATCTTGGACTAGATCAGATTGATAAAAATGGATTTGGGTTGCCATTTGGCTAACTTGGACTTGCTTGACTTATTGGGTTGAATCCAATTAAATTTGAACTCATCATATTATGATGTGAGTTTTAAGAGTTCGAGTCAAAACAACAACCTTCGTATGCGGAGATAATATTGTTTATAGAGGTGGTGCCAAATCTAACACTGACAGAAGCCTGGAATACTCCTAATTAGAAGTTGTGCCACTAGGAAGAAACGGAAAACGAAAATTGCGACAGCAGAATGGGGTAATTCGCAAGTGTTTGTGTTGGAAGAGATTTATCTAAACCTCTCCTTTCTTAACTACCATCTTGGAGGCCGATTATTTCGGATTGCTTATGAGTGCATTCACTCAATATGTTTCGCATGTGGAAGAATAGGACATGTTCAACAGTATTGCCCACACTCCGTCCAGGTGCTAGAGACGGAGCAAAAGCCAGTCGGAGAAGAAAAAAGAGATGACGCCATGGAGGTGACAGAGGCAACGGTTAATAAAGTACCAGCCCAACGGATAGATGATGAGATCAGGAGTCCAAATCAATTGGTTAGTTGAAACCTCTGATGAAGGAATTTTCGGACCATGGATGATAGCCCAGAACCGTAAACGAAATCCAAACCCAAGACATTCAAATAGGTACAAAGCCCTTGAATCGCTTCCCTTAGAGCAAGACTGGAGACTTGGATATACGGACATATGGGATATATTTTGCAAAAACGAAAATGTCTATTTTATAAAAATTTTAACAAGGTATTTATTAAGTGTTAAAATTTAGGGTCATTTAATTCAAAATTTTTTATCTTTAATACATCTTGATTCATGCATATTTTTTATTTTTTGGAAAGTTGTTTTATTTTTAAATTATATTTATGCATTATATATTTACTACTACTAATTTTATAGGAGAAATTTAATATTCCGTTTATTTTAGAATATATAACTTATTTAAATTTCAAAATTTTTTAATATCCGAACTCCATAATAATGTAATAAAAATAGTGTAACAAATACACCGTAACAAAGATACTGCAAAAATAGTGTTGAGTAGTTTTGTGCATGTGATAGCAAATTCAAAACAGAGATGAACTGTTTTGAATGATATTATATAAACATATATGTTTGACAAAATGTAATCGTACAATATTTTGTGTACATGACTTGTTATACTGTTATTATTACATTGTTATACTGTTTGGGTGTTAATATAATTTGAAAATAAATCCACTTTCTAAAAAAAATATGCATGAATCAAGATGCATTAAATATAATTTGAAAACAAAACCACTTTCTGAAAAAAAAGTATGAATCAATGTAGATTAAATATAATTTGAAAACAAAATCATTTTTAAAAAAAAAATATGCATGAATCAAGGGAGGACATACAAATATGAAATATTAAAGTTCTCCCATAAAATTAGGAGATATTTAATTCACTATTTTTTAAAGAAAATACACATGAATTAATGGAAAACAAAAATGTCACAAAATAATTAGTAAAATTCAAATAATGTACTTAGATACAAATAAATATTAAAATTAAGGATTTAATTTTTCAACTTTTTTTCTATGTATTTTTTTACAATTAAATTTAATTTAGTATACTTCCTTCCAATTTTTCGTGATAATAAAGCAACAAGCTCAAATGGGGCCCAGACAACCAGAAGAACAACCCATTCCAATTCGGAATCTAACCCCAAGCCCTAGGGACAAAAACAACCCAAAACCACTAACCCTAACCCCATGGTTGAGTTCTCAAAAGCGAAATACCAAGGGCCTCCAGCAGATAACTCCATAGGCGCTAATCCTAACACCAACCCTCTGCCATTGCAAAAAACTCCCAACACCATCAGCATACCTTGCAAGCAGTAGCAGGTAATACAATTACTCTCCCTAGAATAACCAAGTAGTGGATGCAATGTATCTTAAAGAAGCAGATCCACTAGATCCAACGTGAGTTATAAGGTCACAAAATGGAGGAAATCCCACAAAGAATTACCTCTCTCATCAACAACAGTGTATGGATGTTGTTTCGGTAAGAAGAGGAGAACATATGAACGGTGAAGTCCAAATGGATTATCAAGGATGTTCGAATAGGGATCGAATCTTACCTCCTCAGGTATACCACTCACCAAACCCTAGCAGTGACTATGGAACCAGTAGCCCCAATAGGGGAATATAGA